TACCACAGCAAAATATGTGTAGCAGCATAATTTGTAATAGCTAAATCTTGGAAACAATCCAAATGTCCATCAACCAAAGAATGAATAAAAATATATGTGGTATTTGTATACAGTGGAGTACTACTCAGCTTTAACGAAGGGCAAATGAGGCATTTTACACAATGGAGTATTACTCAGCTATACAGAAGTATAAACTCTAGGCTTTTATTGGTAAATGGATACAACTTGAGAATGTACTCATAAGTGAAATAAATCAGACTCCATATGTGAAAACATCATATTATCTTCCTAGTGTTAAAAACTGAAAGAGTAAATAAAATCTAAAATGTACAGTAGCTATACTGAAAGTGAAAGAGGAAAAAACTGCTAAAAAAAAAAAACCAACAATTGAGATGAGGGAAAGGAGAAAAGAAGGCAAAAGATATATTAATATATATATTATGTCTTACAGATATGTTGTATCTAGAAAAAGTCTATATATATGATAGAATTATACTACTAATCTCTGTTAGTTCATCAAAAAGAATGTTTGTGTTTTTATTGTTTGATCATTTTTATGCCTCTATCCTGTGATCTGAGCAACTATTTTAAAGATAGCAATAGGCAGTATGTTAACCATTGTTATCTCATATGCTTTTGTTTTGAAATTCTGTATCATTGTGTTTTTCTTTATTCATTTTAAAATAAAACCAAAAAGAAAAGATAGGTTTGTGCTTATACTGGTTGATTAATTTTGCATGTCTATATCTTGTAATCTGAGCAACTACTTTGAAGACAATGCAGTATATTAACCACTGTTAATGTATTATCTGATTTGGAAACTCCGTGCCATTGTTTTTAATTTTGTTTACTTTTCTCTTTAAAATAAAATGTAAAAGACCTAAAGGATAACATCAGAAATAAATTCCTATATGATTGGCAGTAGAACTCCACCACAAATAAACTTGGCTTCAACTGTTACAGTCAAAGCAATCTTCATACATGAAAATTGCATGTTTCATATACAGTATTGCTTACAATTGTTTTCTTGTAGGGCAGAAAAACAAAACATACAAGCTATCAATGTACAATTGACATCTTTTTGGTTTTCCTGTTGTCCTATTAGGTCTCTGGAATGCTCTGCCTGCCTGTTCACCTGTCAGCTCACCAATGTGGTCCACAGTTTTTTGTGTGTAGTTCCCTGGGCAGATATATTTTGTTTTTCCTCTACTATAAAACATCTGTTATGAATTCCAGTCTCAATCCTCTAAGAAAACTTCTCCTTGATATTTTATACTTGTCATTTTCTTTGTAAACTATGAAACTATTTGTGCCACATATGTTTAGGGTTGAGTAAAACACAACCATTGGCCAATGCTTTATGTTTCAAATGACATCACAGTTGCTGCATGACTCATCAACACCTACTGTGCCTTTGATTTTGTTGTGGAATTTTCCATCTCAGGCTTGCATTTTGTTGAACTTTCTCTATCAATATTTCTATCATGGTGCAATATTAACATCAGCAGTACTAGTTTGTTTTTCTTTGCCATATATGAGGCCAATGTAAATGTTTCTGAAATCCAAAATTTTATTATACAATTCTCTGTTTTGAAATTGCAACATTTATTTTGGAATTTCTGCTTTGTTCATGTGTATATTTCCTGCACTGGTCAACTTGTGCTCTATTAGCAAATGTAACATCAGTTGGAAACCAGTAAACCAATTGTTGAATATTACATTCAGATTACTTTGGGAGATGGGAGCACAAGTCTGCTCATAACATGATTTGATTTATTACTATACAAACAAGGACCTGGGGCTGAGTTCCAGGATAAATGTCTAAATGTTTTTCACATCCTCAAGGGTATACATTTTTATGGTGTATTTTGACCCATAACTCTTCCAATTTGACCCATTTACATTCCTGTGATTGCCATGAGAAATCCTTGCTAAGTACAGCAGACCTAAATGCTTTCAGTTCAGTTAGCGAGGTGTCATAATAAATACATTTTTTAATATGGCTGCTGGTGCATACAGAACATTTACTTGTATCTCACCCTTTGTGTATTTCATAACATCTTGTAGTATTTTATCTATTACAATTTCCTACAATGAATGGCAGTATTGGCATTCTGTCTATTCAAAACATTTCACCCCTGCAAAGACCTTTACCATATTTTCTAACATTGGATTGTTCCATTTGGTTGCATGACATTTTGCAACATTTTGACTAGTCAAATATACACTCACAGTTGCTGTTTTCTTTGTCATCTGAATCAGGGAGTGTGCATTCCCTGTGTCTGGATCAGTCAATTCTTGCACCATTTCACTGTCACAGGAACTTTTGCTCACATGGCCAATGTCAAAATCATCATCATCATCATCCATCCACGCCATTCTTCTGTTTGTTATGAAAACATGTATTTTTCCATTATGTATCATCTTCATTATCCATGCATGAGTAATATGCTGATTCACTTTTGACCTCCAAAACTTGAAAATCTAGTTTTTCATGACCATTCTACTGAATTGGGCTACTTCTACTAGAAAAATCAAGAGAAAGCTTTTTAAAAAACAAATCCTGCCAGGCGTAGTGGCACATGCCCATAATCCCAGCTCTTGGAAGACTGAGGCAAAAGTATTGCTGTGGGTTCGAGGCCAACCTGGGCTACATAGTATGTTCAAGAACTGCCTGGACTATACAGCAAGACACTGTCTCTAAATAAATAAATAAATAAAAATGAAAAGTAAAACAAATCCTAGAGTGATGTGGATATATAATACCCTCTCTGATGCTCAAGTAAACATACACACACACACAAACACTGTTCTGTGTAGCATTATGTGTATGTAAACCCTGATTTGACACTTTTGCACACATGTACACATCTTTTCTTTCATTGCACCAATTGGATAAATGTGGAGGACCACCTGGATGACTCTCCCTGAATAAATAGCAATTATCTCATTTTGGCTAAACCTGGCCCTATCTCCATGTACTGGTATGTACAGAGCTGGCTAGGCCCTTTCTGTATCCCTTCAATTGGCTTTAAGCAATGTAAATAGGATGGCTGAGGTGCTGATGCATAATCTTTGAAGCTAGGGGACGGTGTCTGTTTCCCTACCTTGTGACTCCCAAAAAACATGGTTGAGCTGGGCGGGATAAAGAGCCACTACTCCATGTTATCGACTTGGATCAAGCCTTGAGCTAAGAGGCTATAATTTCCAAGGGCAGAAAAGCTTACACATCAGAACTGAAACACAGACCTCAAAATATTAGATGCTGCCTCACTTCTGTTATGCAGATTACTCTTTCTGCTTATCCTTCCCTTTGCATATCGCAGAGCTGATCCCAGGCCACCTATCTAGCCCAGCTCATGGCACTCGCACACTTCCCACCATTCTCACAGTCACACGTCCCTGAGTCACTCCCTTCTTCATGAATGAATAAAATCAGGGTCCCAGAATGAGTTGAGGTCTTTGTTCTGATGAACCTTCATTCTGGCTGGATTTTGGACATCTTGGCTCCCCATAACTATATGTCTTATCTTGAGTCATCGTTATTCTTATCATGAGTTGCACTGGATGTGGTGGACTGAAACTGACTTATTAAGATTCCAATAACTCTTCCATGGGATTACAAATATAAACTTCTAGAACCGCAATGAGGTTCAGGAAGGGCTCTTTATAAGTAAACACAAAGATTGCTTCCTGTATCCCTCAGGGAAAGGTACTGAGATGCACAGCCAGCTATTATTACACAAATATAAAAATTTACAGTAGAAAAGTAAGGGATGGGTTTGTGGGACCAGTGTTATGTTCCGAGTTAAAAAGGAGCAAATGAAATGGTGGCTCCCTTCTACCATCTTCTCACTCTCTAGATCCTCTAGGGGGATTGATTGCTTTCCAGTGCTATAAACAAATAATCATCACTGTTACTGTTATTGTGTTTTATCCAGACCTCTAGTTATTCAGGACCAGAAGCAAAGAAACCTATAACTGAAAAAACAATTATTCGTAATTTATTTTTATTTTTGCTTTGTTAGTGAAGATGAATACCAGGACTTTGCTTATGCTAGGCAATTGCTCTACCCCTGAGCTATGCTTCTAACCCCGGGTGGCTTTTTTTTTTTTTTTTTTTTTTTGTGGTGGCGGTGATTGAACCTGGGGCCTTTGCACTAAACTATCCCCTAACCTTTTAAATTAATTAATTGTTTCCTATAAAAAAAACTTTTTAAAAATTTGAGACACGGTTCCACTAAGTTGCCCAAGCTGGGACCAAACTTGGGATCCTTTTGCCTCAGCCTCCCACAGTGCTGGGATTACAGGCCCCACACTTGGCCCAATTCCCATTTTTCATCTTCGCTTAAATCTCGCATGGTAGGAAGGGGCTGGGTCTCTGCTTTCATTTGATAGGAGAGAGTGTTGACTGGATGAGGTGGGAGGTCTGGAGAGAGGAAAGGAACAAATTAATCTGCTCCAAGGCGGATGGTTCCTAATATAAATTTTCTTGTCTGCCTGGGCTACCAAAACAAAGCGCTACAGCCTGGTGCTTAAATAACTGCTTCATTTCCTCACTGTTCTGCACACTGGAAGTCCAAGGTCAAGGTGTTAGCAGGGTTGGTTCATTCCGAGTCCTCTTTCCTTGGCTTGTCAATGGGCTTTTTTTGGGCTGTGTCCTCACATGGTCTTTTCTAAGTGTTATGTGTGTCCTTTACTCTTCTTATAGAGACACCAGTTGTATTGGACTAGGTACTAATCCTTGGCCTCATTTTAACTTCCTTTGTTTCAAAAAGAGATAACATAATTTTATATATTTTAAAAACACAAAATGTAAGATTGTAAAAAAACAACCACCCAAATTTACCACCGGTACTGGTTTCTGCAAGTTTGCTGTGCTATCGTACGCAAGAAATTAGAGAAACCACTACGCATTTAGAACATTCATCATCAGAAACTTTAAAACCTAACTATAGGTAGTAGCCCCTCAAGAAGCTACAACCTGAATTTTTTTTTAAACAGAAAACTGAAGCTGTATGAAGACTATCTTCTGACTGGAAGTACAAAGAAGCAGGAGGAGAGAGAGAAGGAGCAAGAGAGCTCCAACAGCTGCAGCACGTTTATTTATACACTTGGAAGGTAAGTAACACGTGAAACTTCTCCACCTAAGAGCTTATCCATGTGGCTTGTCTCAGTGCCCAGCATTCTTGAGATTAGCGCAGTTTATCCATGTGACTTGCCCCGGGCACCCAGTGTTCTTGAGATTTGCCATGCCCCAGACCCCACGTGTGATCGATTTTCGGGTTCAGCCACTCCCCACATCTCCCCACGTTTTTTGGTTTTATAGTTGTAAGTTATGGGTAGTTGAGGCTAGAGGAGATGTGTTTAGAGAACTCTGTAGATGATCTTTTTATTCTTGAACCCTTTTCATTTTGAGTGAACTTACTTGTTTAGGCTAAAAATTTCCAGCCCAAGGATATTAAGTCCCTGCATTTAGTAATTTGACCTTGATACCCAAAATGGTCAGTTACTAGTATAGCTGGCAATTGTCAAAAACTATTAGTGATTTAAGTTTCTTTTAGCTAATATTTACCATGGCATTTTTTGGTACCATGGATTATGGCATTGTTTTATATTTCTTGTAGTTTACTTTCCTGCAAGATGTTCAAGACCAAGTTAAGGTGAGACCTATATTAAATACAATTAATCTCTTGTTGTCTCTCCAGGTCAGTTAAGTCTCCTGAGGAATTATCTTGGAACCATGCACAGCACCTCTTAGTAAGTGTTAGCCCTCTGGATGAATCACAGCCATTGCATGATCAAGATGCTTTCTGTGATAAAATGGGAGATGTTCTCTCCTGGTGACTCTCCTTAGGCTCACTACACACTGCAGATCTTCATTCTCTGTGATCCTAAGTCTCCTTGATCAGGAGATTGTAGTACTCACCAGAGTTGCAAGATGTTGCTGAAAAGGTTCCCTCATGTCCTGTGTACTTACTGACCTCTGAGGTCAGGGACCAAAACATTGGCTATCCTTGTAACCCATCTGTCTTTCTAGTTTCTTGTCTCCATACTTCAGTTGTTGAACATCCATAAGAGAAGGTTAATGACATAACATTTTGTAATGAGAGCAGTTAGCTTACTATTACTATTTTATCTGAATATCAAACACCTTTGAACATAAAATAGAACCATTATTTGTTAACAACCATGGATGTTCTAAAAGTTGAACCTCTGCAGAATGCTAACAGGCAATAGTTATATAATTTTACACAGAAAATTTAAAATCAAAACTATACATAATATTATAATATGATAGTCATGATGACTTTTTTGTGACATACTTAAAATTCCATTTTGACATAGTATAGCTCTTTTAATCAATCATCTCTATCTAATACATAAGAAACTTTTACCTAACTTATTGACCTTTAATGGAATGTCACCAAAGAAATTTGTGACAATGTCTGGGCCACTTGATGTTTAGGCATCTTTAAGTATAGTGGTGCATATACAATATGTACATCATATAAATTTGTGTTATATTACTGACTGGTGACTTCATTTTGGCTTGACATGAATCTCCTATTACAATTAATTGAAACACAAAAGAAAGGCAAGTATCTGAATCTAAAAGAAGATGTCTGTCACCAGAAACAATCCCAGTTTTACATTTTGGAAGAACTGTACATCTGCAGGCATATAACCTGAATTTTTAAAAATGTGTTTTCTCTACAGAGACTCTTATTAACTATTCAAAAATCTGTACAGTTTTTCTATTGAAGCTGATATTGAGCTGTTCTTTAATTTTTAGCAAAACAATGCCTAAGGACACACACACACACCACTCCACATGTCACTATAGGACAGCCACTTCTTCACCTTCATTCTCTTCCTCCTCGTCTTTGTCTCCCCCACCTTATCTTTTGCCTCATTCTTCTTTGAGCTTGGTGGTCCATGCCTGTCTTTTCCTGCCTCACTTTTGCTCTTGATATGGTATGCCATGTACCTTTTTTGTATTTCTCCTGTAGTTTAGCTGCTCTCTGTTCAAATGCTTGTACATCCTTGGCTGACTGCTCAATCTAATTTTCACTTCATTTTTTTGTAATATCTCCAATGGTTCTGTCTGGGTGTTCCCTTTTGATCTTTGGGCATATTCAGTGGAAAACAGGAAGAAAATAAATAGTATCCTTTTAGGAGCACCGGAATCTTTTCTCTTTCCTTTCTTATCACCTTTGAAAGGAACATAATTCTTTACTTCCCTGTGTAGCAGCTTTGTTATTTTTGCCACATCTTCATGTTTCAACTTTTCCATTGGAGACATGGTCCTGCATCTCTCTAAAGATTTCTTGGAGAATTCTGCAGAATTGACCTTAGAGCCTGAACGTTTCTTCTTTTGTTCTTCCCTGTAGACCTGGATGAGAAGTAAGAAGAGGACATTGTATCTCTTGTTTATTGGGTGATGGAGGACACACGCATAGTGGGAAGAAAGCCAGTGAGTCTGCCCTTAATCATTTCCTTAAAGGCCCATCTCCAAATGCAGTCACAGTCTGGGGTATTAGCAATTAAGACTAAACATGAATGGCAGGGGAAGGAGATAATTAGCCCATAACACTGCGTAAGAGCTTTGTGAACTTACCAGTTTTCTGAAAATCCCTATAAATTAATTGTATATGTTTCTTCTTTCCCTTAGCACAGTTTTCCAGGTCCCCAAATTGGTATCAGCATGAACTGGCTAGAAGTGCAAATTTCTTCTGTATAGATTGCTTTCCTGTTGTTGAGACACCTTATGGGACACTCACAACTTAAAGGAGTAGATGTTTGTTTTGGATCAGTCCAAGGCTGGCTGGCTGCAGGGCAGGAACAGCATAGCAGAAGGCTATGGCAGAGGAAGAGTGCTCAATCCATGGCAGTTAGGAAGCAGGAGACAAGGGAGGAACTGGAGACCAGAATTCACCCTTCCAGGTCACACCCACCTCCAGCCACGCCCTGCCTCCTAACAGTGCATTCAGCATAAAGCTCCTCAGGAGGAGTGCCAGTCACCTTCCAAACACATGAGACTTTTGGGGGACATTTCAGATCTAAAACCTAACACCTACTGAATTAGAAGCTCTGGGGGTGGACCCAGCAAATCCTCCTGGTATTTCTCATGCCTGCCCTACTTTGAGAACCTTAACAGTTGGGCACAGGACAGCTCCGTGCAGAGGTGGTTCAGCTATAAATTCTGTTCATGCTATTCCTGAGTCCTTTTCTGAAGGATGACTCTCCTGAGACATCAGGTTATGATTGATGGCCAGGTCTGTGTGATAGCAGCATTTAAATCAATGCTCATCTGTCTTGCAGTATCATTCGGTATTCAAATATCACCTACTCATTTGAGGATTTATAAAGGAGGCAACTTTCAGTAGGAAGCTCTCTTGTTTGAGGAATGAGATTCTTTGCTAATCTGGGCTTCAGTTTTATTATCTTGAAAATGAGAAATCTGCATTCCTTTTCTACCTCTGACAATCTGTGCATTCATATGAATGACTCAGAGCAACCAATATCTCAGTAGTGGCAAGGATTGTGATTTTATGGGATTTGTAGAGTAGTCAGTCTAAACATCCAACATCATGCCAGGCAGAGGACTTTAAGTTGGAGGTCTCTAGAGGTGAGTGCGCAGTTTGTATCCAATTGTCTTTGTGTTGTTTTTGTGTTGTTATAACAAAATGTTTGAAGATTAGTAATGTGTAAAGAAAAGAGGTTTATTTAGCTTATATTTCTAGAGGCTCAATGGTATGGTGCTGGCACCTGGTAAGGGCCTCACAGCAGATGGCATCACAATGACCTGTGGGCAAAGAGTGCCTATAAGAGTGATAAGTGGCACATGCAGAAGAAGGATCCAGGGAAGGTACCAGGCATCACTATGACAACCTATTCTCATGGGAACTAATCCAATTTAATGAGACTTGATTTACTTCCCCTATGGCAGCATTAACCTAGTCATGAGGGTAGAGCCCTGTGACCTAAATTCCTTCCATGAAGCCTAAGAAAGTTTCTGTCACCTCCACATTGTCACATGGCACCAGGCTTCTTGTACATGAACCTTGGGAGACAAATCCCATCCTAAGCCGGAACTTCACTCTGGTGTTCCTTCTTGGCCCTGAATGAGAGGACGTAACAGGTGACTGACAAACATGGTGGGGCTTGAATCAACCAGCCTATTGTGCTGAAGACCCCCAAATCAAACCCAGGATGCAGCCTCATCTGCAGTGGTCTCAGTGGGAATTATGGAACTCTGGGTTGCTTCTTCATCTTGAGTTATCATCATTGTGCTTTATGGTCTTTCTTATCTGTAAGCTCTTTTGATCTCTGTTAGCACCATTTCACAGAACAGGTGAGGAGAGTTTTACTAATGCCAACTTTACTTCATTTTAGAAGGCTTGGGAGAGCTAGAAATTTGTCCAAATGACAGTTCAGTAAGTGAGTACCAACGTAGTACCCCTTATCTCTAGTCTTTGTTTTGGGACTGAGAATAAGAAGGAGAAAAAAATAGATATACAAAAACCTATCTGAAAAATGAGACATACTTTGGAATTTCTGCTCAGTGACCACAGACTTCTGAGCAGATTACATTCAATACAATCAAATTTACTTTTTACACATATCAAGTTGATTAAACGTCAGGTTGGGATGGAGTGGGAGAGTAGGCAGAGTAAGACCCTTTTGCTTCCTATATTAATTTCTTCCTTGTAGTGGTGGAAAATGCAGCTGATCGTGTTTCTCTTGATACGGCTACTTATCAAGAGGCACTGTGGCTTGGCCTCCATGGAAGGACATTGACAGAAGGCTGAGAGCTGTTGTGGGCAAAGCAGGTGTTTCCAGTTGATGAGGCAAGCCCTCAACAACGTCACTTGTCTGTCGAAGGGTGGCAGTGCATCAGCATGCTGCAATCATGTATTGCCTACATATGACTGATCATTACTTCAAAATGACTACTATTAGGACACGACAATGCCTCATTAGACTGTATAAATGTATCTCTCAGTAACAATATTGTTATATGTGTTTTAACTGAAGACGTACATTCATTTTAATCCCCGAGACTTCATTAACAATGCTCCATGTAGAATCCTAAATCCCTAAACAATCATTTCCTCCATCCTTTTATGTTTGAGTAGGGGTGTACTTAAATTGTTAAATTATGTCTGAGTAGGGTTGTACTTAAATTGTTAAATTATGTCTGAGTAGGGTTGTACTTAAATTGTTTTTAATAAGATATTTGTCTTATTAAAAAACATACATGCATACTCTTAATAGCTCCATGGAGGAGGCCATTGTCAAAGGCCCACTCTTTGACCATTTGATGTCAAATATTATGATGTTGAGCTCCAAAAGGTTTGTGCCTCAGCTACACCAATATTCTTCTTGATATACATAAGGCTGTTTTCTCTCTTCTTTTTCCCGAAGTACAGATAGTCTCAAACTTGAGTGTCACCTCCGTGACATTTGGTTCAAGTTCTCTTCTGGGTGTGATGTAGAAATATGTGCAGAAGTTTGTGTGATTGTCTTAGGTGTCACAATATTTGGGGCACTATTGGCATTTCCTGAGCTTTTTCCAGGACTGCTCACACTGCATATTTCAGCAAAAATGATTCTGCCCTAAATGCCAATTTCCTCATTCTTCTTGGGCTGTGACATACCCTGAATTTTTTCATTTCTCTGTACTTCCTGCTCACCAGGGTTCTCAGCTTTGTGAAGGTGCTCAGGAGATGACAGACTGGTATATTAATCAGCTTTCCTGTTTCTGGGACAAACTGTCTGACACCTGCAGTTTAAAAGGAGGGGAGATTTATTTGGCTCGCAGTTTCAGAAAGTTCAGTTCATGGTCAGCTGATTCCAAGGCAAAAATATTACGGCAGAATGGCATGGTGGAACAAAACTGCTTGGGTAATGGTAGCCAGGGAGCAGAACAAGGGAACATGACTGAGAGGAAGAGATAAGGAAGCAGATATCAATCCCACCCAAGTTTTGCCTCTGTGACCCACCCAGACACAACCCAAAGTGTGGTTTTCTGATCCCCCTAGATGGCTCCCAAGCCAATCAAGTTGACAATTAAGCTTAACCATCATATCCAGGCAGTTACTTGTTACATGATCTGTTTTGCTTTTTCCCAAATGAATTGGGGCTCTAGGTCTCAGTTTTGTATCCCAGCCTTCAAATTACACAAGACCTCTGCTGTGGTTTGGTTTGGAAGTATCTCCTGAAGGCCTGTGTATTAAAGGCATTATTAGGATGGTGGTGCCTTTAAAAGGTGGAACTTTGCAGGAGATCTGTTGTCTATTGAAGGTGTTAGTGGAACCCTAGCCCCGTCCTCTCTCTTTCTTTTTTGCTTCCTGGCCATGAGGTTCTTTCATATACATCCTACCATGATGTGCTGACACATGCCCAAAGCAACCACACCAACTGATAATGGACTGAAAGGTTGAAAATTGTAAACCAAAAATAAACCTTGCTTCTTTTTCAGTTGATTATTTCAGCTACTTATATACAGCAACTGAAAGTTGAGTAATAAAGTCTCCTTCAAAAAGTCAACCTAGCTCTGTATCTCAAACTTTTTATTCATTTGTCCAGTGGTCTTGCTAATGGGCTTATGACTAATGACAAGATAATTCCCCTGCTGTTATAAATAGGGAAGTGGTCAGGAAATAAGCATGAGACTTACCCAGTTTCTTCGTTTCCTCCTCTGACTGTGTGTCTCTGAGGAAGCCTTCTCTACCTTTAGTACTGGTTGAGCAGTGGACCAGAAGGCCCAGCCTTCCCCCGTGACTTCCATGACTCATCTCAATAATGGGGCGCCCCGTCAGTGCCTTTCCTGGGAATCTGTGCTGTGAGCCAGAGGGATGTCACACTTTTCTGTGGGCTGAGAGCTAGAAGGTCATGGAGATTTAGTCTGGGGGCGACATTCTAGGTCAGGATTATGACAAACAAACCGAGCAAATTTGTTTAGAGAAAAGAAACTGGAGCAGAATTGCAAACAAAAGAGAAGCAGAAAGAGAGGCCGAGAGACTGAAAGTGTGGTTTTACTTCTCAGTTCCAGAACTGTGTCCCTGTGAGGCCTAATTGTACTTTTAGTTGAATTACATGAATGGCAGTGATTCACTCTGAATTCTTACGACTCCCTCTCCTCCCTTTCTCTGGAGCCAGCTTTTAAGAGTCTGGGTTTGCAATCTCAAAAAGGCTGACTGGAGACACTGCTCAAAAAAAGAGAATGAATTTTTATTCAATTCTGAGATCTTCTGGCAAATGTTGCCTATGTTCCAGAAGACATTATTTTGGTCCTCTCCTCCTTCTTAATGGAAGAGGGCAGACTGAAAGGATGTATCTGGGGAAAGATTATTTTTGGTGCTTCCTAAGCTTCTAGTTTTTATGTTTGCTTGGCGTTACTTCTGAGCATCCATATCTTCCGCAGTTTAAGACTTCCGGTTGCTTCTATGAAGCAACATCTCATCACTT